GAAGATGATTGCCCCCACACCTGAAGTACTTGATGGGAGGCTTCCGACCTTGTGATCTCTGCTCACTGTTGTTCTTGTTCGGGAAGAAGTTGCGGTTTCGACGCATCTGCGCTTGCTTTTCTCGAGCATCTTTTAAGGTCCTGCGAGCATCGTCAAGGGCAGCAAGGGCCTCCTGGGCATCGTCCTCCAGCGCCTGGTAAGCATACCCTTCTTCTTGGGTGTCCCATTCTGGAACCTCCATCTCCTCATGCTCGAAGTCCTCGGTCATAAAGGCCTCTTCCTCCGCCGCAAGCAGAGCTGACCCCTTTCCCGAATCCCGTTTTCGTAGCTCTTCATCTGGCCAGGTTAACTTCAGCGCTTCCTTCACCTTGGTCATGGTGAAGTTGTTCCGGAGATTGGCCACGATGACGCTCTTCTCCGTCGCATCCAGTCCTGACCTCTGTAGAAGAAGCCACGCTATCACGAAGTCGGGGAGGAACTTGTCCGCTTGTGCCGAGGCAGCCTCTGACGCATCCCAGCTCATTCGGCTCTGAGCCCCTGCCTGAGACCCATAGCCCCAGGGTCCACCAGAGCCGGATTGCTGGTCCCAGCTCCATGGTCTCCACTCGGAGGACCACCACTGGTTGTGCCAGTCCTCAGATGCTCGTGAGCCCTCCGGAGGACCCGCTGACTCGGCTCCATCTCCGTCGCCTTCATCTGCGGGGCCAGCCTCATTGTCCTCGTCTGGGGCTCCTCCACTGAAGGAGTCTGGGGCGTGATGCTGGCCTTGACTGCTTGCGCGCCATGAGGGGTTTCTGGAAGCCGAGGTGTGCTTGATCTCGGGGCCATACTCCTGTATCGCCTCTGCCAGCGTCCTCTTCGCCTCCAACAAGGCCTCATCATGTCGCACTATCCAGCCAGACATCCCTTCCCCACGCCTCCGCTTGATCCCGTAGAAGAACCTCGACATCGTTCTTCCAGCCTCTGCAAGTGTTGGTGAGCGCACCTGCTGTTTCAGACATGCTAACAGCTGCGAAGCGCCAT